TTAGTTCAAACTTAAAGGTACTTACCGCGGGTCCATACGCGGCAGGCAGGCTCCCCCGTCGACTCCACCTACTCCTCTCGCGGAGCAGGATTACCGGCGTCGACGGCGAGCACTTCCGGGATCGATTTATCGCGTCTAGACAAGACGCGATAAATCGATCCCAGAAGATCGATTGCTGGCCACCGAACCAGCGGGTAATATAGACATACCCTGAGTATACAAACTCCACGTCACACCAGGATGTCTCCTCTGGAACTGTTGTGATGTATGGTATAAATGAGTACGTGGGATTTGTCTTAAACAACCAGTAATGAGACTGATACAAAATAATTGCTTAACCAAGATGGCGGTCTAGAAAGGGAGGAGCAGACTTGTACTCCGTATGCTTTGGGATGCCTACGAGTGATTTCATACGCAGGTGTTAGCGCTTTAAGAAGAGTGGGTTTTGTATATTGAGGCCCCAATTCTAATCTCATTTCCCCTGGTGGGAGGTTTGAGTCAGGCACTATGTTTTGTTATTTAAAAAATAATCCTTGTTAATGGGTACTGTACAAGAGTAGACGTCACTTTATAAATCAAAATTTTATACAATTTCTCATAAGTGGTTAGGCCATATCAAAGGTTAAGTGGGCCAAATTCTTCTCTGATGTAACTCATTGAAGGCAGTGCAGTTAAAGCAGAGATGAATTTATCTCATCATGTGCCAGATATTTTTGAAAGCAAGGCAATTTTTTTAAGCTATTGGAGTAAAGGAGAGGGATTGGGTGGAGTGGGGAAAAGAAGCATGTGGTTGTTTGTTGTATTCACAGAAATACAAAAACAAAATGTCCAAAAAAACATATACCCGGTTTTAGCCTGGGCCTCAGAATAATTTTAGTTTAATAGCTGATTTATAAAACATTTGCATAAGAAATGGTTTTCAGAACACACATTGTGGCAAACCTTTAACTCTAGCAGTGCCATATTTCAGGAATTGTTCTAGTACCTGATAGCTCAAGAATACAGTTTGTTTTACAGTAACTATATGTATCTCACTCTCTCTTTTATTGGTACATATTTTGCACATGTTTATACACCAAATTTTGTGTGTTAATTTTTCCATTCTTTGCACAATCATATTATTTATTTCTAATCCACATAAAACATGAAGATTCTTTGAGATTTAATTCATGTATTGCATGTACCCATTTAGATATATCCAGCATTTTGTAGTCAAGTAATATAAAATTATTTTTACCATAATTTCTTAGTCTTATTTGCATTTACCTAAGTGGTGAAAAACAGCTGTTCAGCAGAGTTTCTCTTAGATCTGAAATAACCTTCTACTGAAAATATGTGTTAAAATATAATGAGTGATGGTAACAAGCAGTAGTCAAAGCAGGAGAAGGGAAAAAACAGAGGTATTGATGAAGACCTGCTGGATAATACTCCGATTGCTTATTCATCCTGGTAACTACTTTTTCCTTTTTGTTTATCCATTTCACTTAATGATTTTCTGTGTATTGTTACAGACATCTCAACAATGAGCATGCGCTGGATGATAGAAGTACAGCCCAATGTAGAGTACAAATGCAGGTTGTTCAGCAGTTAGAGCTACAGGTAAAATGAAATTTATTTTAATATTACCTCAGTACTGATCACATCCAATTCGCGACAGCAATAAAATGAGTTCTGCTTTACCCACTATGATTGAAAACACGCTTTCAAAACCTACTTGTAGTAGTTTTAAAAACTGTCAGAGAAACTGCTGCTTCATTTCCTCTTTTCTAAACCGTAATTTGAAAAGAAATAGGAAGCTTAAGCAGGCTCACTGATTGGGACTCCATCAGTATGTGTGTAATGCATTTTATTCTCAAATTGGGGAGGGAAGGGGACAGGGAGAAATAGCGGGGAATGGAAAACCTTCCCCATGGTTTAGAGTTGCTGGCATGGAAGAAATGATCAATGTTTGTTTCAAAACACCGCCTGAACTGGTTTGTTGGTGGTCTCTCATATACTAATAATACTGTCTCTCTATTTTTTTTTACTTGTTGCCATTTGTGGCAAATGAGTTTAAGTGCAAAAAAAGGGGGTAAAATTTGAGCTTATTAAAATGTGCAATTGCAGAGGTCTAACCCATTTATGTAACTGCCTTTTAAAATGCTTTTGAGTTCTTTATATCTCCCTGTGCCTCACTGCTCTACTGGACGACTTTGACTGTGTGTCTGTGTGTAGTCAAGAGGTTAGCAAAGGAGGGGAAATTAAAACAATGTTGTACATTATATAGTTACCAGCCATTGAAAAACCTATTTTGTATGCAAGACAGCAATGTAGAGATATATGGACAGCCTTGGGCTAAGTACAGAAGATAATTACATTTGGAATTTTACTGAGTTAAGTCATTTATAGCTTCAAATAGTTGTAGAGAAAAATCAGCAAAAACACACTTAAACTTTTTTGTTGTTACTTTTCAAGATAACCATTTTTTTAAAAAAAAATCCCTTTTATCGTCTTATCTTACAAATTAGCTTTTTTCTTTCATAGATATTCCTAAATTTTACTTTCAGTAACACTGCAGTCAAGACAGTTTCCACTATTAGCTGAAGCAATATAAACTATTTTAATATAAGTTTTATAAAAATCAAACTACTAGTCGTAAAATAGCAGAGTCTTGCAGAAATTGCTGTGAGAAATGGTTTGTTATTTTAACAAGTTTCCTGGGTATTAAAAAAAAAAAAAATCTACAGTCTTACTGGTGGACTGAGATATAAGATGATCTTTCACCAACGGGCAATAACAGTCATGCTGTAGGTAAACCTAGATTGGGTTGTAGTCTGAAAAACATTATAGGCTCTGTTGTATTAATTTAGATGAATGACTGGGTTATGTTAACACCCATTTATTCCATCTAAATAAATACAACAGCTCAGTCCTGCAGTCCTGTGGTCAACAGGAGTTTGTATCGCCTAGGGACAGTCAGATGAAGCCCTACATAAAGAGTTGAACAAGGTATAGGTGGTTTTTGATTGCTAGTGCTTTATAATCATGTGACACTATTGTGGTAGATTAATCGGTGTTACATAATACTAATCATAGTCAGGGCTTGAGTCGTGCTGAAATGCTCAAGACCACTGCTCTGGCACTCTTTTTGGGAGCCGAAATGGTGTCCTTCCAGTACGGTCACTTACTGGAAGTGCATTCTGGCACTTCTTTTTTAGTTACAGGAGCACTGATCATAATGAGTGAATGATGAGCCGAGGTATGATAGTGTTGGAAAAGACCTCTTAGCTCAGAGTCCATTCTCTGAAAGGGCAGGATATAGTCCCTGATAGGATATATCTCCCATATTTAAATGAGATTACGCTTGATCTTAGCTAAAAGTTCATTGTTCTGTGATAGACCCATAAGCAATAGATATGATGCATTAGGGTCTTGTGGATCAGGCATTTGCGCTTGCATCTTGAAAGTAGAGTGAAATGAATACCAGAAGAGAAACGACCCTTAGATTTTAGTGTAGCAAAGACAATATTCATGGGCATAGCCTAAATCTATTCCTCAAATAGTGAGTTGTATTACCATCAATGATTGGATTAGAGAGAGAAGTACTAGTCGTTTATGCAAAACATATTGGGTCAAAGCTATAAAGAGTAGGAGTATCAGTGGTTTGAGACTTAAAAGAAAATCCAGTCAGGAGGAGGGTGCTGTCATACGAGCTGCTACAGTGACTCTTTGCTCCAAATGATTCCCTTACACAGAGTAATTGGGGCATTCCTCCAGCAACTAGTTAATCTAGGTTTGGCCTATTCTGTAAAAAGCCTTGACGGAATAGAGGGCTGGCCCAACAGTACCATTTGCAATGTAGTCACCGAGCCCACTAGAATTTGGACAATCCGACTAAGATCATGTTTTACATGGCTATCAAACGACTATGAAGCAGTAACAATACTCAGTCAGTACTGCCATGTATGGATTTGAGTTCTGTGACCTAGACAGGGAAGGCATGGTGTCCCGTTACCAAACCAGTTTACCCCATTGGTACTCAAAGTGCTAGATTTCAACTTTGCCAAGAAATGGGCTTGTAGAGTGACACAAAATGATGAGGGTTTGTGATCCTTGGATGAGCCAAATTCTGCCCTGTCTTATATCCCATACTACCTTACTGGAGAGAGGGTAGAATTTGACCTAGTGTGTTGCAGTGGCTGAATCTAGGGGAGATGATGTCGCATAATCATATTGCAACTTCCTCATGCTTTTAATGGAAACTTATCCATATGATACCAAGGCGTGATGCCACCTTTGGTTTGTGGCTCTCTGAGATGCCATTTGATGCAGAATATCCTCAGAGTCCCTCTTGCACAGGTGGTGGGTATATCTACGTGATGTGTCCCTTCTCTCTTTCACGCTCCAGATGTGGCTCCTGGTAGGGAGAGGAAGTATCACTGTATCGTCATGATAATACTGTTTCTTGTTTCTGACGGGGGGGTGGGATCCAAATTAGCTGACCACGTGCTCAGCTCTTCTGACACTTGCCTCACACTCCTGTCATCATCAGTCTGCTTGCTCGCCCTGAAACAGCCTGAACAAGAGGAGCACTAAGTAGTACCCTACCTTCTGGTGTCATCCACTGCCCCTTCATTGAAGCGTCTTGAGAATGTGAATTGTGATTTTGTACTTCTCTGACTGCATCCATTAAATGTCTTGACTATCTCATCAGGAATAGCTCTTTTAAATTATTTTTCTTAGAATTAATTTTGTAACTGAGCTTTAAGGCTAAGTATTATATTTGGTTTGAGTGCAATAGATCCAAATTTGATTTTCTCTCTCGATTTCTCTCTTACTATTGTTAATCTTATGTATAGTATTCTGTCAACATACACATACAGAGATATCCAGTGCAGCTTAAAGAAAGTGAGGGTTCTTGCTTTTTTGACTAATGTTCATGGAAACTAACATCAAGTCAGATTTGTATTTGGACAGAAATATCATGAATCTTTGGTCTCACAGTATCTCCATCACAAACATACTTGAAATACCACAAGCAACATAGTCTTCCGGTATTTTTACATGATTGAAACCGTGTTGACATGATCACCATTCATTAGGGGAACTGCAGAGAGAGAAATGAGTGGCTGGGAATGAAGGAAGAATAAGAGATTAAGGTATAAATACAAGCAAGCTACATGCCATTCTGTTTAGCTAGGCCTCAGCTGAAGTAGTGCATTCATTTTTGGGCACCAGATTAGATTAGAAGAGTTTGGAGGAGAGCAAGAAAAATGATGATAGGTTTGAAAAATAGCATATAAGAGGGAAACATGAAGATAACTGGCCACTGTCAATGCAGAGAAAAGGCTACTTTGGCCTGTTTTCAAGGATGTAAAGGGATGTTATAAAGAACACAGGAAACCATAATCCTTGGTAGTGACAGGGACATAACAATCTTGTATTGATTAGTATAAACTGGTGACTGGCTTCCCTTCCCCTCATCTTCAGGGTGTCCAAAACGCTGCTGCTAAAGTTGTCTTCCTTTCCTGCTGATCTGGATGCATAGTTCCTCTGAGTTCCGTTCTCCCCAATCTCCCAATCCTACCCAATGGTTTATTGTCTAAAATCCTTGTCCTTATTTTCAGGACCCTCTGTTCTCCCCGTTACTACCCCATCCTGTACACCTAGTCTTCCTCTTCATCTCCCATTTCCCATGCTCATGGCACTTTCTCCTGGGCTGGCCTCTATGTCTAGTACAGTGTCCCTATCGTTATCAGCAGAGTGTCCTCTTTCCACCCTCCCTCTCCTGAAGTGCCCAGTGTCCTGTCTTTGCGTGTGTTTGTCTTCTATTTTAACCACTTCACAGCCAGGGTGGTGTGTGGGTTTTTTTTATCTAGGTTTATAAGGTGCTGTATAAACTTACAGCACTATGTATGTGTTTGCAATAATAATTGGCAGGAGAAGCTTTAGATTAAGCAGCACTTGGGCACCACGGTGAGCGGCACCTTATAAAATTTAATAGAAATACTAGCTAGTACTTCAGAATTAGAAGATTAAGTGGGCAAGGGAACTTTGTGAAGCCACTGCCCTTGCAGATACTCAGCTAGATTGGACACTTACCTATTAGGGATGGTTTGGAGCTATTGAACTCAGGCCTTGTCTACACTGCCACTGTACAGCGCTGCAACTTTCTCACACCCCTGAGTGCTGCAAGTTTCAGTGCTGTAAAGTGGCAGTGTAGACAGGGCACCAGTGTTGGGAGCTATTCCCCTTGTGGGGGTGGGTTTTTTTACAGCACTGGGTCTACACAGCCACGTTAAGGGCTTTAACGTTGCTAGTGAAGACATACCCTCAGTCTTGCCACAGTGCAGAGAAGTGCCAGATGATCCCCTGAAGTCTAAATGATTGCATAGCATTACAGAAAGGAACAATGAGAAGGATATAGGGGGAAAGAGTGAGTGTTGGGGCAGAGGAGGCAATATTTTGGGAGTTGACCTGTACCCCTGGGTTCTGAGGGTCCTTCTCCCCACCTTCATCTATCAGAGTAATCCGGTTTAGTGCTGAAGTCAGGGGAGTGGATCTTACCCCATACACATTTGGAATATGCATTTACATGCACCTTCAGTCAAGAGGCGAATGTGTACAGCAGGGCATTTCAGATGACCTTTGCACAGTTTGACGGAGCTAATGTATTCATCTCCTGTCACAGGACATCATCAGGGAAGCAAACAATGCTTATAAGTAGCTTTGAAAAGTCAGAATAGGGCCCATTTAAGAGTAATGCTAATCAGTTTATTTTCTGTGCATAACAATTCTTTCCCAAAGAATGCTGTTAGTAATCAAGTGCATTTTCCTGCAAAAACCACTAATAGTCCCCATTTCCAGACCTTTGGAGCCCTAGTCAGTGCCTCACTGATGAGAGCTTCCTCACATCAGTGGCCTAACAAGCCCTCATGACTTCTTTTGAATGATCTTACTGAATGGTGGGGTGGTACTAATGGAGTTATGGTCTTGTATCCTCCTGCTTCCTGACCTAATGGAAAGCAGTTTAAAGAAATTCTTGGGAGTTTTCACTTCCATTTGCTGCTTTGAAAGTGAGAGACTTCTATTTTTCATCATTTAAACTCCTGCCTAACTGGAGGAGCATTCAAATTCTCAGACTATGACAAAATATTAGTATGTGTCTGCCTGAAATGTCAAGAGGATCTTTAACAGAATTCATCCACCAAATACTGCATTAAAAGAATGCTAAGATGGTGACGGAGAACAATAAAAATAAGGACCTTTCCAGTTCAGAATGAAACGTACTGTGCCGTGGGGACAATGGGATGCAGAAAGAAACTAGTTTGGGTTTTCCCCTTGAGCTGGATGTTAGAAAACTGCCTATTCTTTGCTTTCACTGCCGTGACACACGCAGACAGTTTTCAGGTCTTGATTTTGATGAGAGTATTTATTTTATTTTGTTTCTAAAATAATGATCTTCTGCAATGTTTAGTCCATCGAGTGAAGATTAGTGTGCAGACTAAACTGCAAGCAACTCACATGCCCAGCTATTCAACAAATAAAATGATTGAGAATGGAAAACCGCACAGTCACCCTTTACTGAGACTAAAAGCATTCATTGGTTTGATTTGATTTGATATACATTTAATGTATATGATGGGTCAGACCCCCACTTCCTCTGTAAAGACCACAGGAAGACCTCAGGGGAGGATTTTCCACTAGATCACTCCATCAGGAGTATGAGGTTGGTTCCCTTTCTCTCTTTGGAACATCCAGGGGATTTGGCCGCTAGATCTTGAGGGATCTGCTATAGACATAGGAGTCTCTTTGCATCTCCTTCCAGCCTTGTCGTTCTCCCTTTCCTTCATTGGCTCTCCCAGCGAGGGAGGACTTCTAGACAAAAGTTTTCTCCCGTCACAAGCCCTCAGATGTGGCAGGGTAATTGAACATAGGCCCGGGGTCTCTGGGATATTGAATTTCCATGTTAAGGCCTGACTGCTGGAAAGGGTGTCATTAGTGAAGGTTGTTTTTCAATATGGGCTCTTGTCCGCTGTGACCTGAACTGAAACTCAAGCCTCGCCACTTAGGCTGGAGAACCTCCTTCAGAAGGTAACAGTGTTTGCCTACAACCTATCAACGATCAGATTTGTACTGCTGACCCAGTGTTGTAAGATTCCATATATCAACGCCAATCCTCTGAGCTACCCAATGCTTTTCAACCCCCCGCAAAAAAGGTAACATGAAAATCCCAGTGACCTTTGTGTTCTAAAGGCGCAAAACCAGACGGTTACATTGATTTTTCTCCCTTTAATTCCTCTTTGAAACCTTATATGCCAAGTTTCAAGCCACCAAGACATTTTGGCACAGTTAGAAATCCCTCCCCTTGGGCAGATTGACACTCCCTTACTGTAATGTAGTGAATGGGGATTTATGACTGAGGTTTCTTTTACATTCATTTAACCCAGTTTTACTACTCTAAACAGATGACTCTGATAAGGAGGGCAGGTTTATGAAACTTTCCCTGGAATGTGATTAGCTTTCTCCTCTTGGCACCAGGAATTTGGATTTTCTAGAGCAAAACTCAGCCTTGATAATAATGAATATGTGAGAAAACTCTCTATTTCATGGGCCTGATCTAAATGCCATTGAAGAAAATAGGAATCCGTTTATTGGGCATGTGTAGTAATTACAGCCCCTTTTACTTGTATTATTTCTATTCTTAGTGTCAGTATATGTTACCTTTTTTATTCTGTATAGTTGGAAAAGAAACTTTTTACACATAAAAAGAGCTTTTGAGGTCCCCCAAAACAGCAAGCTTACAGTCTGATCATTGCATTCTAAATGTATTCACAAACCAGCTTGTATACAAAGAAAAAACTTCATCAAGGCAGTATAACGTGAGAGTCCAAGCAACCAAACTGTGACTCGCGTGGAGATTTCAGTAGAAAATTTGAAGAAAACTGAGACGACTGAAGCATATCATTGGGGCAGGGGGGCACATGTTTACACATGACGTGCAGAATAGAACTGTTTTCCCCAGTGCTCACAAATGGTGTCATAATTGAATCACAAAGAGCAAAAGAAGCATTCCTAAAGCATTATGTGCTCTGGATTTCTTTTGGTTTGAGCAGTATTCAGTTGATACTAAGGGACAGAACACTATTAAAATAGTTCCTAATATGGTTACACTTTCCTAGTCTGTTGGTTAAAGATGTGCTAAGGGGATGCCATTTTAAATTTCTGCTCTGAGTTAATACTGCCCTTGCTCCAGTTTTTACCTTCCAGAAGCAGTATGGCCTGGTGGATACAATTCTGGACTGGGACTCAGGAGCCCTGGGTTCTTGTCCTAGCTCTGCCACTGGTCTGGTGGGTAACCTTGGGCAAGTCACGTCCCCTCCCTGTGCCTCAGTTTCCTCATCTGTAAAATGGGGCTATTGATACTGACCTCCTTGGCTAAGCACTTGGAGACCTTACTGATGAAATGTGCTCTATAAGAGCTATATATTATTGTTATAAGAGAGTAGTAAGTCACTCTGATTTTAGGAAATGTTTGCTATTCTTTAAATAAGCACAGTGCTTTCTAAAGCTGCCTGTTCTAATTCTCTGAAGCTGCCTCATGTGGTTTCACCACTCCTGCCTCTTTGCTTGCTCTACGCACCACATGAGCAGTATGTGACATAAAAGCTATATTCTGTTTTTTGTTTTTGTTTTTTTGCGGGGGGTGGGGGAGAGTTATGTTAAGGCAAGAAAATATTTGAATATGAGTGTTAATGTATAATTTGCTTTTTGCTTTGCCTACTGAGCGTGAATAGGATTGGTTAATAAACATGATTCACTATTGTCTTTTAGCTGTCAGGGCTGCGGTGACCCCCTTGGTGCCAGCAGGTCTAGCGCTCCTCACTCAAGGGCTAATGCGTTTTGCTTTGGAACATAGTGACACCCAGCACCACGAGTTAGTTCGACTTCGGAAAAGACCATATAAAATTTCCAAACTACTAAGCAATAAAACTGTTTGTCATGTCTGTGGTGCCAGCTGTTTAATCAGGAATAAGCAGAATTCTGGATTTTATTCATCGAAGTAACAGAGCATTTTTTTTCTTCAGCTTGCAAAAGACAAAGAGCGCCTGCAAGCTATGATGACACACCTGCATGTGAAGTCAACTGAACCAAAAGCCACCCCTCAGCCTGTAAGTACTGTTCTGTGCAGAAACAGAACAAAGCCTCACAACAACCTCTTTTCCTGTTTCCCACCTCAGAGCATAATACAAAGTGTGGCCTACTTTAAAAGACTGTCAAAATGAAGAGACAAAAATTGCATCGCTAGTTGGTCGGCTTCGAATATTCACAGCCACATAAACCCAATTTTCCCACAATCTTTTTTCTTCAAGGGGTTTAAAACTAGTCTTAACTTTAAATGTCACTTTGGACCTTTTACTACCCTTATGTATATGCATGTAAATCCCCTCTAGGTAAGTTGAATTTGCATGTGACCAAAAGGAGCATTTGGACCAGAGTGGTTTTAGTGCTCAAGGTAAAATTCTATTATAGTTAGGATATTTCTTTCACTTTTTAGTGTGATCCTATCCTAGGCTCAGATAGTGTAGACTCTAGTTGCATGTACGTTTTGCTGATAATAAACAAAAGCAGTATCACCCAGTGTCAGTTATTAAAGTACTTACAGTCCATGAAAACCCTATTTATCCAACTTGCTCTCAGAAATAGCTTGTGAAAGGGATAAACTTTACAGGCTGCACTTTATAAAATGTTTGGTCTTACAAGTAAAGATAGTCCAATAGTCAAAGCCAACTGGTGGTACCTGTAAAAGGCAAATCTAGCACCTTGTTCCCTGAAGCAAATTGCACTTCAGTTGTTGTTTTTTCATATCAGCATAATGCTAAAAAATTTTCCTCATAACTTCACATGATTATTCAAAATGGAGAGAGTGCTTTGCTTCTTGATTTTAAGATTTGTAAGATTTAAAGGTACACTGACTTTATTTGATTTTGCTTTGAGTCATTGTGTGAAAATTAATTGAGCGTTGACAATCTATAGTTAGTACTAGCAATTTTAATCAATATGCAATGATGCAGCGTAATGGCCAAGTATTGGTTTATCTGTTTTGACTGATTTTATTTTTCTATAAATAAAGCAAACACACACCCATATACGTTTATGATTTATGGTGATAGAAATAAAAAGGAGTCAGACTATTAACCCAGCAAATATGGTAGCCTGCCAAAATGCAGTTGGTAGACAAAATTAATGTCTGAAACAGAACACATTACAGAGATAGAGAACATAAAATCATTAAACACTTTGCACATCCATTTTTACTAGAGAAGAATTTCTCAGTTTCCATGTAGTTGGAAATAAATGGCTGCAGAGAGAGGTACTAGATAGAGAGGTACTAGAAAGAAAATTGCAGAATATTCAACAGCATAGGAGCAGGAGTCCAACACAATTTCAGCAATGCCTTTTGGAGGAAGTTTGAGGGGGGTGAATATAAGCCCTTCCAGAGATTCCAAAAATTGCTTAATCCAATGGATCAGGATGATCACAAAAGGAAACTACTTAAAGTACCTGGAAAAACTCTTCCTATTCTTCAGATTGCACTAGACTGAATTCGCATGCTTTACTAGGTTGTGGACTAGAGACCCAGCAGAACACCGAGAAGGGGGTTTGGTTTCTATCCATCCTACTGGATTAAAAATTAAGAGTGGAATAATCTGTGGGGGTCTCAAAGCATTCTGTTGAGAGACTTTTTGTAGCAGCGGTGCCCCTCAGAAGGAAGGATTAAAAACTAAAGGGAAGTAATCGCAAGAAGACAAGTGCTGTTCAGCTACTGATCAGCGCTCAATATCAACAGGCAGTAAGCTTTCATTTGTGTTGTAGGCTACAAAGGTACCAGTTGGTGTCGCCATGCAGATTAGTATTAAGCAGCCAATAAACAGGGAAAAGCAGCAGAAAAAAAAAACGAATGGGGAAAAATGGGCTGTCTTGATTAGTATTAAAAAATGTTTTACATTCTGGAAAATTATAGCTTTGATGGGGACCTCCCACTAAATTTATTTTTAACTGCTCTATTGAAAATTCTGTACCACTAGTCAACATTATCTCTCCGTTGCTCAGCACAGTGTTTCTTTATTAAAAGAAATAGGCATGAATATTTTTGACTGAAAAATTAATAGCTTTTGAATTCATACACAGCAGGTTTTCTTTTGCAAAGAAGTCCAATATCGCTGCACAGCACTTCTATAACCATTTATTTAGAGTCCAAGTCAAACCTTTGACAGCTAGAGCAGTGTTACAAGCCAACATAAAGAACTCCAAGATGTAAACCAACAATAGGCAGTCTGTGTGAGGTTTGCCATTGTCAAATACATAGATTGTTTGGATTAGTTTATGTAAATGTACTGTTGTATTACCCTTTGAAAAAAAAATCACATTTGTGTATGAAAAGTGGTTTCGTTCACAGGCAGCATTATAAATTCCTTATCCTTTAACTTACATGTTAGAAGTAAAAATTGGTGCCTGACAGGCCTATATTGTGTGACACTCTGTTGTTGGATTGAAACTGTCTTCTTTTCATTTATTGAAATATAGAAAAATTTATTATAGATACCATCTGATAAATCAGAAATTATTAAAATATGTATAGGTGAAGCATTTGAAAATTAATTATAAGATGTAGAAGTATAGTGTTTTGCATAAATTGTGATTTTCTTGTGGGAAAAAAAATACACAGGCATCACATAGACTGTGCTAGACCCCAGTCCTTTTAACTCAGTGGGGTAGGACTTTGGTAAAAAAGATCTGATGACCATTACTGCAGTGCAAAGTATTTTTTACATTCTGTAATTAATTTTATTCCCCCACCATAACTAATGCAAGGTGTATGTTAGGATTAATATATTTTTGGTACATCTGTGATTTTAAAGGAGTCGCTACCGATCCAAATATAGCAATAAACTGGGATTTAAAATTACAGCTTTTTAATGACTGCCTGGAGAGCTTATGGGAAATATTTTTTTTTCCTATTTAAAAGCTCTTAATGCTTATTTTTAAATAGTTCTTAGCTAGATGGCAAAACGAAGAGTGAACCATTATACTGTGTGGCTCTTAAAATCAAATGGCCAGTGTGAAACACAAATGGCAGCCAAAAAGCAATGATGTCATCTTGCCCTGTTTAGCTATATCCCATCAATTAGTACAGTATTTTTGGACTGTTCAGACCATAGTCCAACTCTGTGCATTCAACCCAACCCTGTTAAACAGCGACTTGTCAGGTCTAGTCATGTTAAGGAACGTGTGTCAGTCTTTAGATTGCTTTAGCACCTTGGAATAATTTATATCTTGGAAAAGACAGTGGAATGATCATGTTTTGTTCTGTTTTTAGCTATAGCAAATCACTAAGGTCCTAATTCAGCAAAGCACTTCAGTCATATTAAAGTCAATGGGACTTAAGCATGTGCTTAAATCGTGACCCAAACTGGAGGCAGACAGTTGTACATGAAGCACTTCCCTCTGGAGCAGCCTTCGTTGGGTGTGCTATCCACTTCTAGAAATACACGAAATTCTGGGCCCTACTGCTGGGAGGACTTATGAGCAGAGAGCTAGAGTTGGAGGCAAAGAGCGGGAGGGGAGACACAGAGCCATTGTAATAGTAATAACGAATACACTGGTTTAAAGGTGTCTAATTGTGATTTATAACTGAGATGCCCAAGTATGTAACATTTAAAAAAAAAATGAAGTACCTCATAGTTTACTGCGTAAAGAATATAACTCCCATAGCTGAGATTTGAATACTCCAAAATGAATTCAGTTGACCTTGGGGAATATGCTGTGATGCATTGTATAGAGGTGGAGATTTTTTCAGTGTTTCAAAAAACAACTACCACAACAACTCCTAAGAATTTTTTATTTTCATTTTGCTGTTATGGTCACCATTTTCATTCATGTCGGAGGTCAGCATAATAGAATAAATCAGAAGCTTGATCTGCTTTGGAGTATTAACTAAACATAAAAGAACTACTACCTAGACAAGAGGGGAAAAAAGGGCGTTCTTTTTATTCTGGCTAACAAGACGTTCTATATACTAGGCAGTACATCCATCTTTATGAAATTGACATACAATTTTTAAAGAAACGGTTGGCATTTTAAATGAAATGCACTGTTAGATATTGCTTTTTAATAATATTTTCTTTTACTCTCACCATAGCAGTTGCAATTGTTTTTAAATACTGTTTTTAGCAACTGTGAAAACAAAGTATTGCAATAAAATAGCCTTTTAACTGTTTAGGTAATGACTGAGCATTTTAGCTGCTGTAGCTGTACTTATAGTTTAAAAAATAATGATATGCAGCAATAAAAAGAGATTCTCAAGTACAACACACAAAAGCTGTTTTTATATAGTGTTTTTCATTAAGTCCCACTCCTCAACTTGGGTTTCCTTAGTATCCCTGCCAATAACAACACCTGCTAAGCGATTGTTGCTTGCCAGATCCTACATCTAATACAGTAATCTGTCCAGGCTGAAATCGTACAGGAAGACACAGAATTTAACAAAGCTTCGTGCTTTGCACCCCCACTTCCCTCCACCTTCAGCAGTCTCTGCACCAGGGTGATTAAAGTCCAGAAACTCGGTGCAGTTATTTCATCAATTTCAGCTGTGATCAGAGTGGCAGCACCAATAGCAGAAAAATCAATGCCCTAAAGCAGTAGGTACGCCCCAATGTGACGCTTAATTTTTTTTTCTTTTAAAATGTTTCAGATTCTTTATTTGCAGCCACTGTTGTTATGTAATCTGTTTACCTGGAGAGAAATCAAAAGGTCTTAATGGAAGAGCCACTTAATAGAAATCTATTTTTATGGGCTGAAGGAGGGGGTTACCTCTCTGGCTTGTATGGGAGAAAAAAAACTAGTTCTTGAAAGTAAAGATTCATAATAATAAAAGGCCAGGCAGCATATTGGACACTGACCCAACGATGGCATTTATGATGGTTAGATTAGAGAGGTGTGAGCTACCTGTGTTGTAAAATCCTTCAGTAGTGGAATTTGCAAAACTACAGGCCTTTAAAACAGATATTTCAAAAATAGAAACTCCAGGGAGAAATACTCACTTATTACAAACATTATTACTGAATGGCTTAACCCTTTGGAGGGTAGGGAGTGTGTTCGATGTGCTTGGACAGCGCCTAGAATGTTACGTGCCCAATTGTAAATGCAAAGAACAATACTCATTAAAAAAGCCAGTTTGGTCACTATCATTCAGTACCCTGCAGCAAAAATGATACCTCATCAAAAAATGGCAGTATGTGGGAATCTTGTCGTATCCAATCTTGGCGTGAACAACTTTTTGTAATCAGAGCAATTTGTTTTTAAATAGAAATTCTGTAGAGTTTCCATCAGGAAAAGAAATCCTCCCAGTACAATCCCTTCCTGATCTTTGCCCTGCATAATCATCTTTAGCAGCCAGGAGCACCGAGCTTAGACACGTCTTCATTCCTAATTGATGATGATATTAAGATTTAATCATTTACAATTCATATTAATATTTTAAGATTACAACAAAATCAACACCATTCATAATTTGTTATTTTGCTCTAATTCACGATTAATTTTTAAGTCTACATTTTATAGAGAACAATGAAAGCCGCATGTTGAGCATTAAAAATGTAGATGGTGGCGCATATTCTTCCCTTTGCCTCATTACAGAGTTTTGTCACCATCACCAGTAAGACCCAGGCCCCTCCAAAAGCAAGAGAGAGTATCATCAAACAAAACTTAAAGGAAAACTTCTCTAGCAATTGACAAGGTCGGCGTTTCATTAACTTGTTGGTTCAGTCAGACAAATGGCAGTCCGAGGTGAAACACACGATGCTCACAGTGTTCCAGCTTTTTGTTCTTTCTTTCCTCACAGACTGCAGTCATGTTTAATTTGGAAACTGGGCTCCTTTGGCAAATTAGCAATTAGAACAATTTTGTGGGAATATGTATATGTGTCATTAGTTTTCCTGCAAATTAATAGCAAGAGCAGAGGTCAGGCAGAAATTTTCCACTTGACTGCAACTCCTCTGTTGAGATTTGGCACTTTGTTTTGGAACAGCCACAGCTGCTCAAAGCCACAGTCTTCCTTTAGGAACTGTCTTTTAATTAGTTTACCTCATAGCCATTATTACAAATATTACTGCCTCCCCTCCTTGAAATAAAATTACTGTTTCTACAAAATATTCCAGTGACATCTTGCACCACTGCACATTGATGGTGGGGTCATTCGAATGCAGTGTTTAATCATTAGATCACCTCCATAAGCATCTCCTAATTAGAGTCCTTACAATACAATTTTATCTGGTAATTAGCTGAGATTGGCTGCTTCCTCTGTAGCTTATTAGTGGCAGCCCAGCAGTGGGTGTGAATCACAGTGTCATTTGTCAACCCCCTTAAAGCCCCTCTCTTTGCTCTTCCTCTCTTTCTGTATTTATTTCTAGTCGCTACCTATGCTGGAAGCCTAAAGAAATTACACTCAATTCAAATTCTTTAAGCAGAGAACATTGACCTTTGCAGATTCTTTCTTTGCCGTTTTCTAGTAGAAACAGATTAAATGTTAAGTTTTTAAACAGTTAAAAAGAATCTAATTCTTTTGAAATGGAGTAGTTTGGGCAGTAATGATGAAACAGTATCCGTGATCTTTCCAACACAAGAGAATGTCTCCTGAGCTTGTGCTGTGGAGGGGCACTTAAACTTGATGCAGATTTGCTTGCAGTTATTGGACTGTTAAAATGTCCATTTAGAAACTGAGATTAAATACAGCAGATTGTATTTCATGGTGAGACCTGTCAGTTGTACTATTATGGTCATTATTACTCCTTTTATTATGTGTAATAGATGGATAATAAGGGGATATCGCTATATGTGTACCCCGATCCAGTGTACTTAAATCTAAACAGGCCACAAAATGACTTGGTTTCACTTTCACACTATATTGTATAAGTAATATTTAAAAACATGAACCACACCCATTTAAATACTAACACAGCAGGTATACTTTGAGCTGCATTTATTTGTTCACTTCATTGCATGATTCTTCAGGAACTCAGGACATATATTTTATTGCCTTTTCTAGTCTCCTCCTCTCACCCCCACCCCCATCCCCCCAGTAGGATCATATAATCCTACATTTCCTTGAAGTGTTAAATATTTTCCATTCTGAGAAGAGACTTTCTAGCTTGTAAGCACCTGCATGAAGAGAGGTGTGTTTGCAGATTTGCTTCTCCAACGCTCATTTCTTTGGATCAGTACTTTAACTGACAGTATACGCAGTCCCATCTACAGAACACTGTGTTATCCTGTGGGGGCTAACATTTCCTTGAGCGTTTTGTATTTCACATTCAAAACAGAGAAGCAGGAACAGTTTATGTATTGTTCACTTGCACCCTTCTTGTGGGTTATTGGCGTATTGTGTTGCTATCCGTTCTATAACATTAGAAATCTTTTTTCCCCTCCAAGTTTGTTTTGGACAAATTCTGTTGTTTATTTTTTTTAATCAGAGAGCAATTATTGGTAGCTACTAATGTTTGAAACATGCTAATGTGAGTGCTCTTATCTGGTTGCTTTCATGTCACGAACAATAATAATGAATCCTATGGATGTTTTGGGGCATGTCTTTATAAGAACATAAGAACAGCCCTACCGGGTCAGACCAAAGGTCCATCTAGCCCAATATCCTGTCTTCTGACAGCAGCCAATGCCAGGCGCATGCCTCAGCTTCATTTGGCAGTGTTTAATGTCAGGCAAAAAATATTAATTGCAAATAAACAGAGTGAAATCCTGGCCCCTTTGAAATAAATGGGATTTTGCCATTGATTTCACTGGCACCAGCATTTCACCCAGAATATTGTTCACAATCAGGGCCGGCTCCAGGCACCAGCTTAACAAGCAGGTACTTGGGGCGGCCAAGGGAGAGGGGCAGCACCTGCGGCAATTTGGGGACGGCAGGTCCCTTACTCCCTCTAGGAGCGAAGGACCTGCTGCCGAACTGCCGGTCGCAGTTGTGATCGCAGCTTTTTTTTTTTGCTTGGGGCGTCAGAAATACTGGAGCCGGCCCTGTTCACAATAATGGCAAGTAATGTGGAAGTACTGAAAGGAGCCCTTTTCTCAGGCCCCCTTTTTGATGGAGCAGTTTGGGATCTTATTGTTTATTTAAAGTACTTCACCAAGAATGGCCCATTGCAATGAAGCATCTTGTTTCGAATGGTGCCCAAAGAAAGGGTCCATGATACACATGCACACTGATGAAATAAATAAAGTGCATGTTAAAACCAGTTATGTATGGCTGTCCGTTCTTGGGGAAGTCACATTTTAAAGCCTGCTTGTGGCTAGCTGTCATTTTATTACATGCTTGTAAGTTTCTGCAGGTAGCACAATTGCATTCCACACCAAGGAGAGAAAAGAACAGTGTCATTTTTTGCTGGGCTTAATGACTGCAGTATTTCATGCAGTGTGATTAATTAAATTATTCTGGAGTTAACCTATTCTGGGATTTGCGTTTAAAATGGATGAACGGAAAAAGCCCAAATGCTGTACTGATCTTCCATTTCTTCCTAGTGCATTCCTAACAAAGCATTGTCTTTATTTAAAACCTGATGTCTTTGAGGAAATATCCAAAAACAGATCAGTTGCAGAATATTAACATGTAAATAAGAGATGTGTAGGTTTTAAATTGCAAAACAGTGGAACGAAAATAAAATATTAAAATGAATATATACAATGAGGTGGTGTTTGAAAATTGGGGATTTTTGTCCTAAATCTTCAAAGCACAGAGCAAGCACTTTTGTTTACTGGGTTGCAATTTTTTTTTTTAATATATCATGTAGACAATTATACATTCATCCTCGTGTTGTGGATTTTAAAGGAGGTGTTACAGCTAAACAAGTATTTAAGATACATTCTCTGCATTTAGTGGTCACAAACACTATTAAAGCTGGAAAAGATTTTCATAATTCTTAATTTGCAAGAAATACAATTTCTAATAAAGTTTTTCTCACCCTCTTTTCTGTCCCCCTCAACAGCTGAATCTGGTATCAAGTGTCACACTGTCAAAGACGGCCTCTGAGGCTTCTCCACAGAGCTTACCTCATACTCCGACCACCCCAACTACACCCATCACTCCTGTCATCCAGGGACCTTCTGTCATCACTACCACCAGCATGCACAACGTTGAACCAATCAGGAGGCGGTGCCCTAATAAATACAATGTGGCCATTTCTTCAGGTAAATGACTGTCGAAGGCAAAGGCCATTATTTGTTTTCTCTTGGAAATTGCAAAGGAGGCTTTGATTCTGATATTAACAGAACAATTACTCTTATTTAGCAGATCTTGCTCAGAACCAAGAATTTTATAAGAACGCAGAGGTTAGACCACCATTCACGTATGCATCTTTAATTAGGCAGGTAAGTTGTTCTCGAAAACCACATTTCGCTCCAAAATTGTCCCTATACATCCACCCTATAGATTAAATAGATTTAGAACCCTTTAATATGCAGGCATGCTCAAACCTTTCCTATAAGGGTTTTGAGAACTGCAATATATAACATAATTGCTTTTGATTAAGTATTACAATACGATGTGATTATTAGGAAATTCATTTCACACAACAGTGAAAATGAGCCTGTTTAAAGATGGCAAGTCAATTATCACAAGCTACAGTAATCTCTGATCCCTAGAATTAATCTGAGCTCTAAATAATTACTGAGCTTTAATCAGCTAGTGAAATGTTTTGCATTTCTCTTTGATTCTGCTTTATGAATGACTAATAAATTAATATTTCTGTAAGGAAACAGAAATAAAAACTCAAAACAATTAGATAATTCCATTCTGAATCTTGCCATTGAACTGTTAAATACAGCCATTAATCTTAAAACACATTGTGAAACCCTCCTTTGAATTTTTGCTCCAAATCTCATTTTTTTTAATCCGTTAAGGTAAAAGTGTAGGTGTGTTTGCTGGGAGTTTTGTCATAAATCATCATGCATTTTATTTGCTTCACAAGGCTATCCTCGAATCTCCAGAAAAGCAACTAACACTAAATGAAATCTACAACTGGTTCACACGAATGTTTGCTTACTTCAGACGCAATGCAGCGACATGGAAGGTAAGGTTTGCACCATGTATGCCTCTTGCCTTTGATATTTGACATGTACAGAATAGACATTGCTGATGACATAACAAATTGTAATGGCATATGGACATTAAAATGTAGATCGGCTGTTTTGACACACACAGGGTGTCTTATCTGCAGGAACAATTTGATATTTGGCAGAAAAATTCTTCTGCCTTTGAAAACCACTAATTGAATCCCCATTATTGGCTTTTATGTCCTGTGATTGTGCCACCAGTTGATCTGTGTGATTTCTCCTAGTAGTGAAAGTCTAGCTTTTCATCTGGAACATGTAGGAAAAAAAGGGTGACGATATCGTGTCAGTACAGGATATACAGTTTGTCTTGTTAGTTACACAGCTCTTCATTTTTCTAGCTGTGTGACCACAACAACCATCTTTTCCAAGGATGTATAGACAAGTTATTTCTCAGTCAATTGGTACCTGACTAATTTAACATTCCAACTTGTTATAACCTTCACTGGTTTATGATGACACCAAATAGAAGTTAATTTGGCATAATGCTAAAGAAGCAAACCAAGAAAAAAACATTTAATCTAACAGACACAAGAAACTATAAAAATTTGATGCCTTACATTCTTACAGTAGGGTTCTGTTGTTCAGTTAGATTTTTTTTATATATTTTCCATTTTCACAGCTACCCCTTTCCCTTGTGTGAGCTGTTATCATAGCAACTTATCCACAGTAGCCTCTAGAGGTGGTGTGATTACTACTGGATGAATCAAATAACAGGATCTTACACTGAAGTAAAAATTATATCTCGGTGCTTGTAGTCTCTGTTGGTCCAGGTAACCCAGTAGTTCTTGAACAAATTGCCTCCACACCAGCAGATCTGATAAATGTCCCCTATACCTGCTGTTTTCTTTCATTTCTTCTCCCTTTGCCTTTCTTATTCTAAAACTCAGGACAGTTCCTTCAAAGGATGGAGTTAGAGAGGTCTTCTGCTTCAGTGGTTCATTGGAAAGTTTATTGTATTTCACTTGTGTGCTTTTGCTCCTCAGTGTTCCATTGCCTTTCATTCAAATGCCTTGGGGCAAATTTGTAAATTTCAGTACCACCTCTCAGACCTCAGTCATCTGTACCTAGGAAACGCTCTGAGATTGGTGCTTTGATTTCTGCACCTTAGTTGAATAAGTTGAACAGTGTTTCATCTGCAGCTTCCTAAGTATTAAAAAAGAAAATGAATTTTCCTGAATTAAAGTTCTTTTCAAGGACATTTTGACAGTGTTACTGTAGAAAAACAGTTTGGTTTCAGAACACTTTCAGTGGTGTACACTTCTTTAAAAATTACAGAACCAATGTGTTCCCGATTTTAAAATGAAGTATACACGTTTGTATATATACATATGCACAGTGGAACCTTCTTATAGTCAACCTGTTCTAGACATGAAAACACTTCTTTAAATCTGAGTTCTACTATCCAGAGCCTGCTTTTTCAAAGCTCTAGTTTTCAGTTTTCTGTTAGTCCTTTGAGCAAGATTCTTCTTCACACACATACCTCGAACACCCCCCATCTTCTGTGGCTGTGGCAGCCCTATAAAAGATATGTTTGTCTCCTGCTGCTTGAGTGACTCCAGTGGAACTTTTCCATAGCTGCAGGAGAAAGGGCTCTAGCAAGAATTCTCTTTGATTCTTGCCTGCAGCTATGGGGGCAGCCACCTGGCTAGACATCTCATTAGTAAATGTGGCCACTTTTTGGAACTGGTTTTGTGCATTATATAAGATCCGCTCTAGAAGCTCTGAAAAGTCACGGGCAGTGAGAGTCATGCTTGCAGCTCATGCAGCATACTGGAAAGAGGTGCCTATGGCAGAGGAGGCAGAGAGATGTCTTACTGGAGAGTCCCACAGCTACAAAAGAGAAAAGGTTCATCCCAGGGAGACGTTTATCCTTGTGAGCGCACCAGGGACCCCCTGACACTGTGTAGGTGTTAAGTGCGTGCTCTTACAAAACAGCAGTAGGTTCCATCACTACTGGCAAAATGGATGTCCACTTGAAGTAATTTGGGGCCTTCATGCTGATGGCTGCTCAGATTAATGCCAGCCTTCAATGACCGCAGGTGGCTGAAAACACAGCCCAGGATTGGTTTGACGTGAAAGCTGCTCGGGTTCTTCACAGGCCCAAGGGTCTGACTGAAGAATCAGAATAAATCTGAATTTGTGCTTTTGTGCTTCAGGCCCATCTTCAGTAAATGCTCAACTATCACTCTGGCCACAGTGTAGGATAAGGATCTGGAGTGGGTGGGTACACCTGAGATCTTTTTTTTTTTTTAAAGAAGGAAAAAAGAACTTATAAATGAAACACTTCACCAAATGTGGCACAGCGGTGCCTGAGCAGTTATTAAAATAACAAACCCTTTCATTTAGTACATTCAAGCATGTTCAGGGTAATTTTTTTCTGAAAAAGTGGCTTGCATACAAATATTTTTTAACGAGGTAAATATATAATCTTACAATAATAGTGCTTAATTTTTCTGTTAAGCAGAGCGCTAGAAGAACATTCTGAACTGGTTCTGACAGGTCAGAGGCAATGTCTGTTTGCTTGGTTGTTTTTTGGAGTAGGAATCTGCTGCAACTGAATTGCAGCCAGGAGGCAGAAGATGCAGGTGTGGCTTTGAAATAAATGTTGGGGGTATTGTTCAGATAAAACGGTTATCTAGCAAGAATCCAGGAGCAGGAAAACCAAAAACAATGATCCTCTATAAACTCACTAAGCAGGTGGTCAGATATAAACATGGAAAGCTAAGGCATCTTTCCCCAAATACCTTACAAATATTTGATTTATCTGTGTAAGTATATTCAGTCAAAGCCTGATCCAGTCCTCCTAAAAGTCAATGGCAGGACTCCCATTGGCTTCACTAGAGCAGGATCAGATCGTAAATGATTTATCCAGCATTAGGCATATTTAAAGAAGAATGCAGATAATTCTGTTCAATTGTTTATACAGAGACTGTTTACAACCTCAAAGCATCCATTTTTCTGAATTTTTCTGTCTGCATTTGATCAATTGCCTCATGAAGCTACAGTATTGCTTTTCACTGTGTGGAATATTTGTAACCATTTGCAAAACTGATCCAAAATCTATCATCATTATTTTATATTCTGTTACAAACTTGAAAATGTTCCCATTTGCACTGGAAACTTTGTTTGGGTTACACAGATTTAAACCCCTGTCCTGTGTCAGGTTCCCCTAGCAGGCCACTCTGCCAATCAGGAGGACTTTGTTAGCTGATCCCAGTGCAGGAGCAGGGGTCTGACTAAGTGCAGATGTAGTCAGCCCGGTTTCTATTGAAATGCATGAGAAAAATGTCCGTTTTCACGTGTTTTCAATGTCGAAAAGAGCCATTGTGCCCAACGTTTCACACATTGTGAAATGGGGAGGGTGCAAAATGTCAGACCCCAAACAAATATTGTGACTTTCTCAGAGATTCAGCAGCATCCCCTGCCTTGTCCAGAGGAAAAAGTCACTCAACACTGATTTCCCCACCAGCTCACAAACAGATCAGCCTGGTGACAAAGTAGAGAAGCTTAAGAAGTATGTGGACTTAGTACTGCAGAAATGTGACATGCCCCCTAAGCACGGGATCGAGTACGTAAGGCTATATTCATATTGTGCTGACCTGTTAAGAAGAGAGTCCATATGCTGAATCGTTGCTAGTATGAGTGGATAGGTTATGGGGAGATGCACAGAGAAACTGCCTAGCAAAAGTAACAAAAGGCTCCCAGCCCTCCCCTCACAGATGCACACACACTGCCTCTTAATTTACATGACAAATGCACTCTGCATAACCTTTGTTTGCGCAGTGATTTAGACATTCCTGATTAGAACTCCTTTCATCATCCAGACCTGATGTTCGTAAACAATGTGTTTAGTCTCCTGGTTGCCTAGATTCATGCCTATGTGTTTGGCATTGCGCCTGCTAACAAGTCAACCAGATTGACTAGATCAGTGATGCCAAGGCTGATGGATGTAGTTTGTTCGCCTGCATGTTTCCAGCAAATGGCCCGCTCCCCTTCTTCTGGTCACTGATCCTCTTTCAGTGGCAATGCAGAGGCACTAGAGAACAGGCTTCATTACAAATCTGCGTGGCTTTACCGCTGTGTAGTTGCTCACAAAACTGGGGGTGGCACACACTTGCTAACTAACAAGGTATTCAGTGCCTTTTCAGGTAGAGCAACGACATAAAAGACACAATTGATTTTGCTTGTGTGAGAAGTGTCTTACTGTGTCAGGCTTAGGCCAAAGTCAGAGGATGTAAGGGATCTGCTGATTCCATCCTGCAGAAGCACTGGATTACGTCCAACAGAATTGGGTCTGACCATCAGAAACCTTAGCTTGGGAATGCCCAATAAAGGAGCCTAGGAACCATAAGAAAAAAAACATGTGTCTCTACATGTGGGGAGATTATCACTTTGTTTTGAGAGCCCTCCTCATGCATGTACTTGGCAGAAGCTCAGTTCAATCAGTACAGTAGCCTGCCAGAAATGAGAGCCAACTTCCATATATGAGCATGCAGTGGAAGACATGACTTGGTGCACTGTGGTGTTCACTAGGGTGCTATTTGGTGTGAAAAGAGGTTCAGCACCTGATTCACATTAGTCCAGCTGTGGGAAACCACAGAAACCCCAGCTCCAATGCCTCTTTGCCAAATTGAGCCCTCTGTAATTACGTGAAATTCTTTCTCTGGTCTTTTAAACTGTTTTCTTTTTCCAGGAGTGGATAAGTTTCCATTACAAACTGTGTACTTGTTTTGAAAGTATCTTAGAAATGTTACTCTAACTGTATATGAAATATGCTGTTACCTGATGTGTCTACCTAAAATGATGGAGGTTCTCATTCCCACCGTGAATAATTGACAAAATAACTTGAATTCCTAATCTCGGGTTTGAGATTTTATTTTTATCTTTGCAAAATAAGATCTTAAACGTGTAAAGATCTGGTTTGTTGGGGGGAAGGAGGGTGAGGGTTGGGTGCGGGGAACGGAGTTATCTTTGCAAATAAGGACTGTCGAGCTGACTATGCTGCTGTTCTTGGACAATGATGAGTATTTTCTCATAGAAAGTTTTTGAATGTTTTCTCTTTTATACTTGCTGCAGAATGCAGTGCGTCATAATCTTAGTCTTCACAAGTGTTTTGTGCGAGTAGAAAACGTTAAAGGGGCAGTATGGACAGTGGATGAACTAGAGTTCCAAAAACGAAGGCCACAAAAGATCAGTGGGTATGTCCACCATGTTTGAACTTCTTAGCTTAGCTTGGATCATGCTTACAGTTTAACGTAGAGGCTTTTGGCTGCTAGATGGTGTTAGACCAACACAGGTGGTTTCACATTGTTTCAGTTAAGGGAAACAAAGAAAAGCATCTCATCACTACTGTTTGTATGCCCACCAGTACCCTTGCCCCTGCTTGCTTGGTGTTTGTTGCATCACATGCTAGTAGCTTTTAGGTGGCAATGCATATTAACCCTCACAAACCATTTGCTTATGCTTATTGCATTTTATTTTCTTTTTCCTTTTCCCTGTATTTGATGTCTGTTCTGTCCCCGATCCCGTGTCCCTTTGTTTCCACTTCATCTCCTTTGCTGCTGCTCTTGTCCCAGGGTGCCATTCGCACCAACCTCTCCCTGCATAAGTGCTTTATCAGAGTAGAGGATGAGTTTGGGTCCTTTTGGACTGTTGATGATGAAGAGTTTAAACGTGGCCGTCATATTCAACGAGGCCGTCCTCGAAAATTCTGCCCCGATGAAAACTTTGGCGAGCTTGTTGCACAGTAAGAGCTTTTACTTGCTTTTATTTTTTTTTCTGCTGTTGCTTTGCTTTGCATGATCTACCCATCTCATGTAGACTTGCATTTCATGAAACCATGACCTCACCTTTGCTGCAAAAGAAACTAAATGTTGTGGGTTTATATATGTGTTGCGCTTGTTCCTGCCCTAATAATGCAAATGCCTAGGATAATGCTTCTTTGACATGTGTTATAATTTTGTTTATAATGCAATGTAGACTAAAAGGTACTGCTCCTAGAGCAGATATACTGTACAGTTGATTATCAAGAAGGTTTTTAGGCAAACTAGATTTGGATTATTTTCTGTTAGATTCAGTTATATGCTTTGCTTCACAATTCTTAGCCCAGAAATACAAGTCGATATTACTCAAATAAATAACTGAAATGCCCCCGAAGTATTTTGACAATGATTACTACAGTTGGACCTGTAGTAAAGATTACAAACAACAAACCACCCTCTTTCTAAAATGATCACTTTAAAATATCCCGAAGGTTCCCAAGGCAATTTTGTTTTCCCCTTAGTTGAAGACCACCTGTCCAGGGCAACTGATTTTTGCTGGTCTCAAGGATGGTCAGTTTAAGACAGTTATCATTGTGTTCTGTTTCAAAACAGAGACAAAATTGTATTGTGGATGATGTACATTTTTGGGGTTGTCTGCCCTGGACCTTCCCTGGCTAGTACTTTCAGCAAGATTTTTCAAAAGTGATTTTGGGTGTGGGGGTTTTGGGTGTCCAGCCGAGACGGGGTGAGTTCTCAGCACGATCTTTAAAGCAAGTCCCTTTTACAAACCTTGGCTACAAAGGTACTGTGGTATTCTAAAGTAATGGTTCAAAGAACCACAGTGGGATACTTTTTTATGAGTGCTCCCCTGACTCCGAGTGGCATCTTTCATGTTCCCTACCACTTGGTTCTAGTGCCACAATATCTGCCGTTCCATCTCCCCTCCATCACCCACAACAAAAATGCTTTGGGCTATTGGATAGCCAAGCACTCTACTGTGCTGTCGGAGTTTTGTCCAGCAGGAAACAATACAACTCTGAAAGCAAGAATTCTGAAGTTCCTACTTATCAAAATTCTACTATGCAGCTATGGATGCCAGTGATGTCAGCTACTACATAAGTCAGCCAGTGTACGAATTAAGAGTCCATAATGCTTTTAATGGTGATCTCCTTATTATGGACCTTTTAGATAGTAACTTACTTTTGGATAGGAAGAACTTTGGAAAAATTCTGTTGGATTTCTGTAGAAAACAAATGCTAATATATAATATTTCAACAGGGCATTAGAACACGAGATGCTGTAGCTGTTAGAGATTTAAATAATGGTCTTCCATATTTAATAAAGGCAAATGCAAATATGGTAGCCATACAACTAAAACATAAAAGTTTTTAAAAAAACAGAAGAGAACTTTTATAGCAAACAACACAGTTTGTAGTTTTCTGGTGTGGGAGGAAACATAACATGATGGAAACGCACTAAGATGAGTAGTTTGCACTTAACTCTACTTTTTATGTTTTTCTTATGCAGTAACCCTTCTCTTATTAAAAACATACAGACCAGCCACACCTACTGCACACCTCTCAATGCTGCTTTACAGGTAAGATTAATGGCTGTAGCAAATATGCAACAGAGGCATGTGTCTTCCCCACTCATTTCAAAATATATTAGCCTTGCTCTAATTAGATATTAAATTTTAATTCCGTTAAACTTTTTTCTTAAGTGCATAAAGCATCATAGTCCCTGGAGGCAAACACATATCAGGCTGCTTCAGCATTAGCTAGATGCTTAGCATTTTGAATATTGTGGCAAAAAAATTAAAAGTTCACTTATTAATATTTATCAGCAGTATCATAATTTCCATCCTCTTATTTCAGAATTTCACTTGAGGCAAAAATACCACAAGTGTAATTACTCTAGCACAGCTATTAATGTGCTGAATGATAGGATACTGTATCACATGACCTTCTATTGTTCATGGCTTTAAAGGGAAAGCAGATCATTTCTTCCCCCTCCCCACCTTCTTTTAAGGACTATTTTTTCATATTTTTCTGTTGTTGTTAAATAACAAACATGTAGTTCACTTTGTAAAGAAGAAGAGAGATGTCAGAAATGATAAAGAATATTTAGATATTTCACAATACCGGAATGATGTGCAATATATATGTATATAAATATATGTTCACAATATAAATTTGTGTCTGTATCTGAAACATCTTTTGTGTTTTATACAAAAGAAATACATGTTTTCCTCATTCTTTCTCTATGCAAATTTCTAATAAAATTATTGGTGTCCGGTTCAAATGTCCCCGGTGAAGTCAGTATTCACTATAAGAACCACTGACATAAGTGACAAGCATTTTGGTATTTTGCCTACTAATTACTATGTGTTTTCACACCTTTCCACACTGTTTTCCCCAATCACTACAAAGGCCTTAATCTTGCCATGAGATCCTCACATGCAGTAGCTAATTTCTGGATGGAGCCCCAAACATCCATAGAGAACCTTCCCAAGATGTTTATCAAAGGTTAAACTCAGTGCAGTGGATTTAATGTGGTGTTTGGGCAATTAAATGTTGTGGAAGATTTACTAGCTTTGCAATCTAAGCAATTTATTTATTTTTAAAAACAAGAAAACAGATTAATAGGAGAGAAGTGACACTGTGCATTTCTCCTAATTATTTCAGTTAATGCAGTAACTTCTGAAAAGCAAATGAAAGCATGTTTAAATGAAGCAACTGTAAATACCGTTCATTAGTAACTTATTTTCCCGTGAGCCTTGTGAAGTGTGATTTTTAAAGACTGCTTTGTCTGTTGAATAGTGTTAAGATTACAAGCACATTTTACATTCATGAGGCTGAAAGGCAAAAATGAAATGATCCTGCATTCCTTCAGATTGTTAACTATGTGACTAATTTCAATTAATATGCTTATCATACAGAACAGTTCATGTCTTCTTTCTAAAACATGTGTTGTTGTTGTTTACATCTTCTTCCATTCTTGTCTTTTGTGATATCCTCAAAACTATTTTCATTTTCAGGTTTTTTCTAGGGAGTAACGTGTATTTGTGTTCTCCAGTAACACTAGATAAAAAACTCGATTCAGATGAGAATCTGGGCAGGTTTTGTTAAAGCTTTTGAGTCTTGTCAATAAATAGGGTCACAAGATAACTTTGTGCTAATTAAATACAAGGTTCTACTAGGGTTAAAATATACCAGCAGGCTCCTTCCCCCTATTAAAAAGCAGCAAAGAGTCCTGTGGCACCTTATAGACCAACAGATGTATTGGAGCATAAGCTTTCGTGGGTGAATACCCACTTCATCAGATGCATGTAGTGTCGCTTTTTACAGATCCAGACTAACACGGCTACCCCTCTGATACCTCCCCCCTATTGTCAGACAGTTTCGAACTACTAGCAAAAAACGTACATCTCGTGGTCTTCTGCAAAAATTGTGGCATGTCCTCTACTGTTCAAAAAGACTCGGAGCATTCGCAAAAAAAGAAAAAAAAATTGGCATAACATACTATTTGATGCATAAGATAACTAATGTGTCAAATGACTTGGTTTGTATAATACACTTCCTAGTCTCTGATACGATTTTCCTGTCTGTGGACATGTTGAGTCAATTTGTCAATTATTGACTAGAAGTGTGCCCCCTATGGTTTTGGGCATATCCTGTAGCATGTGCACAGCCCTGTCCGTTGTCTGCACTCACAAATTTGGTGGGTTCCTGTTTTGAGGCCTACAGAAAATTCAAAGTTATGTGCCTCAAAAAAAAGTCAGGATTTTTTTTCTCTCCATCCTCAGCTGCATCCACACACCTCTGACATTTCTGATATCTGCTTTCCCTCATGGTCAGGGAGAAGAAGCCCCTTTCTCTTCCTCTCTCTGTGCGTGGAGTGTATAAGGATTCCAGGTCTCTTCCTGGGGGAGACCTGGAAGCATTTTTCCCTGTTCTGACAGTGTTGGTCTCCCAGAAGATCCAGTGCCTCCACTCTATTTTGCCCGATTAAGCAAAGAGCACTCTTGAAATCTGTGCTCTACCCCAGGCAAAGGTGAAGCAACCGCCATTACACTCTCCTTGCAGACCTGGTGGTGAAAGCTCCTGTGTGAACGAGTAGAGCAGGGTATGAGGCACAAAGGACTAATGAGTCTGTCCTGTGAAATGTGGTAAACATTAACATCCCCACTCGTTAACTGTGGGGTTTGCTCCCTTTTCACCTCCAGTGTGAGCAGCACTGAGGGATAAAGTAAGGGCAGACCAAACCTTCTCCCAACACTGAAAGCAGTCCTAACCCTTCTGGCTGGTTCTGAACAGTTCAGTTAGCATTGCTGGGTTATTTTAAAATGTTGATGTGCCTCTGCCCTTTCTGCCTCCACCTGGGACCAGAAGCACCAATATTCTGAGCACAAATAGAGTGTGTTTTTCCATCATGGATAAAACCAGGCAACACCAGTAATCTGCGAAAAGTCTCATCTTCAGAGGTCTACAGCCTGACCTCCCAGCTAAAGGAGTTCAAGAAACTACTAGTGTTTCTGGATAACGAGTCTGACCCGCACCTCCGAACTACCCATCGCTCCCTGCTTATGCAGAGAATCAGGCCATTTGCCGAATTATGGTTTGCAAGAAACAATTATATCAGGTGCTTCTTCTGTCCCACCTCTTCCCAAATAAATTGCTTTATTGCAATTAGAAGTTATCTCTATGGGGGAAGAGCTTGCCTTATTATTTTGCAAACTGCAGGAAATGTGAGCCAATCTTTACATTCCCTTAATCAAAATTAGTTTGCTGCATGTTGAATCAAAAAGATAAAAATAATCCTCTTTGTTAGAGTAGCTTTTAGGATCACATGCGATCAGATGTTTAGAGAGGTCAGCCTGGGAGAGAATTAAAAGGGAGGTTGTGCTCGTAGCTGGGTCGTTCCCTCATGCACATTTGTGCTCGAACAGCAATAATGGCAGCAAGTGAGGAACATCCCAAGAATCAGCAACAGCAAAGAGCACCAGGTGGGAAGCTCATTTGCATGAACTACCCTCCCCTGGGCTGTCTTGCCTCGTGCAGCCGTGGTGCTGATGGATTCTTTTTGCTTGACTGTAGCAGGAGGCTGACCTTTCCCCTGAATTAGGTTGACCACTGCAGAGCCAGCATCTGTGGCTTTCTGTGCTGGTACGTCTCAGAAAGCCATGGACGTTGGTTCACAGATGGGTAAAATGGTCTTTTGGTTTCAAAGGGTTGCTTCCTTTTAGACACCCCTTCCCCCCCCCTCCCCCCCCCCCCGGACCCAGCAAACGAACTCCTCTCACGTCAGGACTTGACGTTGCTATATTCCCATCACTACATGATGGGATTGTGCTGGCCCAGAAGAGGTTTTAACATGCTGCAAGCCTGACTCGCTGATCATAGGACAGCCCTGTCAAAATGATCAAACATGAGCATAGAATAAATACTAGCAACCAGTAAATCTGGAATAAGAAGGAAAAGGTTTAACTGTTTATTCCCTTTCTACAAAGACCTACATTTAGAAGATGACTAAAACAGTACTTATCAGAAATAGAATCATGTCTGAATGGGATCAAATCTACAATATCTAAGATAATATCAGGGTTATCAGAGCATTAAAAAAATAGAAAATGCCATCCTAATTTACCCTGCCTTGTTAAATGTTAGATTTCTCTCACCAATGCTAAAGTAACACAGCAAATATTATAGGGACGAGTTCATACTTCAGTTATGTTGGTGTACATTTAGAGTAACTCAGTTGGCTTCAGTGATGTTCCTCTGGATTTGCGCTGGCATAACTAAGAGAAAAATTTAACCCTCTGTAACCGCTCACACATCACTTCTCAGTCATGTCATGACAGTTTTGTGCTTTGGTAGAAAGGAATTCTCAATCAAGTGAATTTGCTCTAATTGCTTTTTTAACTTTTTTTTTTTAAAGAAACACTATTATTTTTGAGGCTATCATGAAAGTAGAAAAGGTAAATTTGCTTTTTCCATGAATTGTAATATCCAAATGGGGAATAGCAGGAACTGTCCCCTCTCGTGCGCCAACAGTCAATTCCATTTTGAACTCCTAAATCCTCATGCAAATCGTGTGACGTTTCCCCTGGTGGAGTCAGTGCACGACCTTTTTGAAAACACTTTTTCAAAACCAGCAGTTGTAACACGTAAATGAGAAGAGTGTTTTTTGAATATGTGATTGTGTTGTGCCGTGTATAAAAATGTGAGACATTCTTCTTCATACACTTTTTCTGTGTCCTTGGCAGGCTTCAATGGCTGATAATAGTATACCTCTATACACTACTGCTTCCATGGGAAACCCCACTCTGGGCAATTTAGCCAATGCTATGAGGGAAGATCTTAATGGTGCAATGGAGCATACGAACAGTAATGAGAGTGACAGTAGTCCAGGACGTTCCCCTATGCAAGCAATGTAAGTAGAGCATATACGTGTGTGTTTGTTTAAATGTAACGGTGATATTTTTCAAAGATTGTGTCTGAAGTTCCAATCCTGGGCAGCAAAAGGAAAAGTCTGAGCTTCTGAAAATATTTAGGTTGATTAGAATCTAAAAGGGTCATTTACCAACTTCCACATAAAACCAATCAACTCAATCCAGTCTGACAAGTGCACACAGCTATAAAATTCTTAACTCACTTGCCATTCTCTTCGTTCAATCCCAGACCACAGAGCTACAAAAACACTCAGGCAACTTTATGAAAAGTTTTTGTTTGTTTCTACTTCAGACTACCCAGTAAACATGCTTGACGGGGCGGAGCTGGGGGAATGAGTTTGTTTAGCTGGTTTGTAGTAATAATCAGCGAACAACAGTATTGCTCGGCATTAATGATGGCACATGTGAAGGTATGCATGATTTATAGATTGCTCTTAAAATATCAAATGGAAAATTAATAGGAGCATTATAGCAACAGACGGCAATATAACGAGTGCCTATATAACCACATGAAGTAATGGGCGATTACTGTCCATGCTAAATGTAAATGGCACCGGGGCAGAATGCTAGTACAGGAAAGGATAAGCCAGGAATGGTGTGCTGCCCCTGTGGGCTTGTTCAGTATTTATGGGTGACTGAGTGAGTTTGCAAAGCTGTAAATTCTCCCCTCGCCCCCAAATTATATACGGGATAATTGGCAGCTGGAAAGGAAAGCCGAGTTTATAAGTCACGTAGTTCTCAAATTTTAAAAACTGTTTATTTGGAGCGGCTGACTACTTCTGTGAGTAAACATAGATGAAACACCAGTGCTCTTATCCAGCGGTTCATTAAAATGGACTGTAAAATCATTGACTGAGTTACCAAAGCGCAAATTAAAAGAAAAAAGTCCCCAAAACCCAAGTAATTTGTAACCTTTTACTTCAAAGTAATTTGAATACAGGATTTATAAAAGTAGGTCTGAATCAAAAAGTAGAAAAACATTAACCTAATACCATCATAGTAATTAGTTATGAAACTAATTAGCATTTAATGGAGAGAAAAAAAGTTTCCCACCTGCATAATATGTTGTGGGGGAGCGGGAAAAGGGGCAGGAAGCTAAAGCTCCGGATACTTTGATATGCAGCATTTTAAATCCGTGCACAGTGTGCTTTGAAAAATAATCTTTAAAGATGGCAACATTCATTTTTAATTCATAATTAATTTGAACATTGTCTTTTACCATTTACTTCAAAACATTTGAATCATGTGTTTAGCTTTTACAGTGATTGTTTGTGCAGTATTAATTATCTTTCCCAAAGTAGCGTTACGTGACACACTGTTAGTGCTATCACAAATGGATTCCTCTTCAGGCAGTTTTAGTCACAATTGGTTATACTCTGCCCATGCCCACGTAGGGTTTTAGTGGAGGAGGAGGAGATGGGATTTTTTTCAAGAATCCTGAACTAACATACAGAAATGAATGTTTATAAATTTCCTTTCATCCATGTTTTTTTTTTTTTTTTTTAAGGTCTCAGGGCTAGTTCAGTTCATGTATTTCTTCGTTCACCTAAGATTTCATTGTTTTTGAAGGGAGTATGGGACGGGAAGTGTAACAGTAAGTGAAAAGCAGGGTAGCACATTTTCTAGAACCATATGCATAGCTGTGGCCTTTACTGCATTTAGTACCCCTTATTTACTACTTAGATACCAAGGTGAGAGGCACCTCAGAAATACGAGAGAGAAAGATTCACTGTCATCATCCACCAGAAAAACCCTTTTTGTGTTGTAATATGAAAATGATTGTTTCCTGAATGATTCCATAGTCTCAAATAGATACTGTGTGTTCCGTACTGAATATTCCCTTTTGTATAAGTAAAAATGCAGCAAGGTGTATGCCCTGATAGCAGCTTGTGGGCTTTCCCATTAAACAAGTGTTCTGAAATACTTTGAAAGGCCATGAAGCAGGATGCTGTTCAAACGTCACAGGGTTTACACTGTTTGCTAAATATAATTATATGTCAACATCAGATTTCCAGTGCAGACTATCAGTGTCATAGACAGTTACTCTTTTCAATATCTTATTTCCATTAAGTACACTTTATAATGACATTCTCTATTCTTTTCCAAAACACACTTCTCTGCCATAATGCAAATTGTTTTTTAACAGTTCCAGTATATTGGAATAAATCAAGCCTTAAACTTTATCATAAGGTTTAGAAGACCTTGTTAACATGACAACTAAGCAAGTACAACACTTTAGCTGAAGTCTCATTACCATTCATTTCTTTCCTTTTTATGACACATTGAACTACTGCTACTTCCCCCCCCCTTTTGAAACACTAGAAAGTAGTCACATAATTACAGCTTGGGGACATAACACTTTCATCCTGATATGCTCCAAAGGTAGCCACAAAGCAAACTATTCCATGCTGTGTGCACCACCAGAACACAGTGGCTTTAAACAACAGTCAGCTTTATTAAAAAGTCCCAGAGTGGACAAACAAAAGAATTACTCAAATGTGAAAAGAAGGGAAATCTGTGTTCGGTAAGGTTATTTATTGTTAACCCCTTCTGAAGCCAGTTAAATGAAATGTGTTAAAATTCTGCTACTAAACAAAAAAGACTTAGATTCCATTTATGAGATGTATTAAATAGGGATTCAAACTGGTTTGGAAAATTATAAAAATCTCCCCATCTCTGAACACTAACCTCTTTACACTGAACATAACTGGTAGTTTTGAGGTGTTTGAATAATAATCAGTGGGTTTTCATTTTCACATGCCAGTTTGCTGCTACCGCCAAAATACCACACAAGGGGCTGGATTGTGCTTTAGTTTGTTTTCCATGCAAATTTTCTGCTTGAAGTTTGGATAGTTCAGATAAACATACTAATTTGGGGAGATGATTCCTTCAAATTGGACTTTCACTCCTTTGACATTTACCCAACCTTAAGTCCCCGGGGGAAGGTGGGCTATATAGGCATGATATTAGAGCTTTGTGACTCTCTCTAGCTTTGTCTTACTTGGAGTCATTCAGTCCTTTTCATTGGTTTCCATTCACTTGGCTTTGCATCCCCAGTGCTTTGTAAATTACTTCAGGGGACAAACCCAAACCTCAAAGCGAAACTCCGTCAAAACCACCCGGTTTCACATGCTTTCAAAACAAAACCATGAGCTGTCCTGTGGTTGCTTTGGAAAGGTTCAAGAACCTTTTGGAAAAACCTGGATTGTGTTTCAGTTTTGCATTAAAGCAGGTGAGTTTGGCCTGATCTTGGATTTCCTAATGACATTTTCAAACATTTCTACAAATTGAAAGGCATATCCTGGGGAAATCCATGGAACCAGGAAGAGGGGGAAAGATCGTCACCCACCATCCATTATTGTAGCCACAAGACTTTAGCAGCCACCATGGCTTTTGTGCAACCTCTTTTTCTGTGTAGTTGTGGCTCCAACTACCTGGCCACACCCTAGATCCTTTTCTGTGGTGGCATGCAGGTGGACCTCATAGAGTACAACAGCGCAGTAGGCAAGTTATGCATTAACGTGCATCGGCATCCCCAGCTCTTCCCACCCCCAAATCTCCAAAGCAAAACGGCATGAGTTCTGCTGCATCTAATGCCCTGGGGACAAACTAAACCAGATTTGGCCTAAGAAACTATTATGCTGATTGGAAACGAGACCGATCAATTATATACAAGGACTGTTGTTTTAGAGATACTTAACAATTACACAGGTGCAGCCAATGTCTACCCTATCTGCGGACACATCTTTGTTAGAGCTTGGTGATAGTTCATAAGCCTAATAGATTGGTTAGATGTGCTGGCACTTTAATATGTGAACAATAGCCTGGGAAATTCCACGTCCAGAGGAAGAGGCCCTCCCCCCATCACCACTTCAGGTTCATAAAACATCAACGTGTCCTTACTTTTGAAAAAACGACCTGTATTCATTTTTCACAAATAACAAAAAACAATATTTAAAACCAAAATGGCAGCAAAGACAAAAACACGATGAGCAAGACTTTTAAATGAATACAATAATCAATATTACCGCCATCAGTGTAAAGGAATGTAGAAATCACTTGCTTCTTTTTTTTTTTTTTCAAATTCTCACCCAGAAAAAGCCCAGTGCATGTTCAGAACACTGGTGTATTCTAGTTAGAAATATAATTGATCTCTTTGTGTGTTGTCTCAGGTCCCAATCAACAAAGCACTTAGCACATGCTTAACTTTAAACATGTGATTATCCCCATTGACTTCAGTGAGACTTCTTATGGGCTTCGCTGGATCAGGCCCTGATTCCTAACAACTTGTTTTGAGTCTTCTCACATGTGCCTTTCTCTTTTCTTCCATGGTTGTGTCAAAACTAAACTATCTGAAAAACCACCTCTCTCCTTGTGACAGCTGAGCTCTGCTGAGGTCCTAAATAGAAAAAAATCAGGGGCCAGTGTGTGGGAGTATTTTCACTAGTAACTGGGGGATTTGCTTCCTACTGGTCCATCAAATAATGAGTGTGTTGACACTTTAGGACATAGTGTGACGCCCATCTGTTTTCATAGATGTTTGCCTGGGTGTGGTGGAAGTATATGTTTACTTTTAGGGGATCCTATACCAGGGATCGGCAACCTTTGGTCCGCGGTCCACAAGGCTTAGCACTCTGGCGGGCCAGGCCAGCTTGTTTACCTGCCGCATCCACAGGTTCGGCCGATCGCAGTTCCCACTGGCCGTGGTTCGCTGCTCCAGGCCAATGGGGGCTGCGGGAAGCGGCGCAGGACGAGGGATGTGCTGGCCGCGGGTTCCCGCAGCCCCCATTGGCCTGGAACGGTGAACCCGCAGCCAGTGGGAGGCGCGATCGGCCGAACCTGCGGACGCATCAGGTAAACAAACCGGCCCGGCCCGCCAAGGGGCTTACCCTGGTGGGCCACATGCCAAAGGTTTCCAATCCCTGTCCTATATCCAGGTCCAGAGATCAGTGGCTAATGTATGTTTCACATGTATTGCACACGCCCCCAGAGACATGCTGGTATGGCACATTTTCATAAACTGAAAAAATAAATAAATGTGTTCAATAAGCTCTAATATGCCTCTGTGATGGGATCATTTCTCCCTGCTGTTCCTATACAGGATGGGATGCAAGGTGTAGCTAATTCCCACATATTGATCTAGTTACTTTTGCAACTCAAGAAGTTGAAGTGGGATTGAAAGGCATTCACGGCTGATACTAGAAATCTGTGTAGTCAGCCAGGTGGATGCTTCCAAACCTAATCCAGTTTCAAACTGAAACCAATATCTAGAGTATCATGACTTTTGAAGTACACGTTTACTAGGTGGTTCGCCTGCAAAGATATCAGATAGCTTGAAATATACAAGTTTCTCTTTGGCTTGTTTGCTGGCTGCAGAACATAATTTTCTCATTCACCTCAGTCAGGGGCTCCCAAAGGGTCCTGCCTTCTGGTAACACATGTGAATCCACATTGTGGGCTAGTGTATAAAGCACTGGACTGGGACTCAAGAGACCTGGGTTTCATTCCCAGATCTGCCACCATTATTCTTCTTTATTTATATTACTGTAGCATCTATGAGTCCTAGTCATGAAACAGGGCCCCTATTGTGCTAGGTGCTGTACAAACACAAAGCAAAAAGATGGTCCTGGCTAGGTGACCTAGGACAAGTCACTTTGCCTCCCCCTGCCTCAGTTTCCCCATCTGTAAAATGGGGATAACGATACTGAGCTCCTTGGTTAAAGCACGTTAAGATCTACTGATCCAAAACACTATATAAGACCTAGGCGGTGGTGGTATTATTACACGTTTGTCTTGCTGCATTGGCTCTTTTCCTTGCACATCCATGCGCAACAACTGAGTTTACAAGATAGGCAGTCGTGTTCACTACGAGTTCAGAAACGAGGATTGGATCCTTAGTTTGAAAATATGTTTTTTTCTGTATTATGTGCAGGCAAGAGAAACAGAAAGCATTTTCATTCCCATCTGCCAGAATTAGAAAGGGAAGGGTATTGATTTTAAACCTTTTATTGTAACCTGATGCTTTGTAAGAAGAAAAAAGTTCTTAACCAGGAATGTTTGCTCTTATGATTAAGTCTTTCTTTACATAGCCTACATGAAAGGGTTAAATCAGGCTGGCTAGAGAACAACCCAGACTGTGGGAGGTGGATAGCAACTCAACGAGAAACAGAATGGGACTTGAACTCATTAACACTTTATTTTAAGGGATTGCCTGCAATATCAATTATTTAGGAAGCAAACAGGGTCTCCATTGGCGTGTCGCGTTATTAATACTTTATAATGTCAATAAAATCCTACTTTCCTATGAAGTCCCACCAACAAGACAGTATTGACTCACATGGCTGTTTTACATATCAAAAGCTACTGAACAAAAAAAGTAATTTGTATTTGTAAAGGGTTTGTTGTAAATACGATTTACGAACAACATTTTTCAATTGTTATCATACCCGTTTGGAATGACCAACCCACATTCCCCTGCGGGTTATTCATGTGCTAGTCTATAATGAGAAATTTGGCAGATCTCATCTCTTTAGTGCATCCTTGTGCCCACCATGAGTTGAGGATCATGTTCTGCCTTGTTTACAGCTGACAGTGTTATTATTCTCGTTAGGGCTTTGCTTTCTTATCATATTGTTGTGTTGAGCGAGCCTTTTCCTCTCCGTTTGTGTTTCCTGGCAGAGCTTTTCTTCCCTTATTGACAGTTTGTAAAAATATGCATTAATTTGGAGTTTAAAGCATGTATCATGGTGTCTCTTTGCTGTGTTTGCTTGAAGTTGATTAATGATAGAACCTCGCTTGGGGTCGTCCTCTGGAGAGTTCTCTCACAGGTTCTGCATGTTAACTAGAAAAGCAGAACACACAGCAAGCCATGATTAGCCCAGCCTCCACCAGCTCAGTGGGTTGACAAACCACTATTTTGCTTTACTATGCTTATTTCACTTATTTAGCTGAAGATTGTGTTAATCAACTTAATACGTCAGTTGAGAGTATATTCTCTAAATCCTGTGAATAAACCATATATAAGAAAGTGCTCCTCCCAGGATAGGTTCCCACTGAAGCTAAGTAATTGTAGGCACATTCTTAGGCATACACTTTTTGGTGTTTTTTTTTCTTTAGCAGCAAACCCAAAAGTTCAGGGCCTGCATTTCATACGTGCTGAGCACCCACAACTCCTGTAGAAGTTAGTCAGGGCTGCCCAGTGCTCAGCATCTCTGGAAATCAGGCCTTCAATTTCTCCAAAAAATGTCAGTATTGCCACAGCAGGACAAAGTCATTTTTAAACAGGGAAGTTGCTGATTGACTGTTTTAATTTTCCTAGGCACCCTGTGCATGTCAAAGAAGAACCGTTGGATCCAGACGAAAACGAAGGCCCGCTATCCTTAGTGACAACAGCCAATCACAGTCCAGATTTTGATCATGACAGAGATTATGAAGATGAACCTGTAAATGAGGACATAGAATGAGTATGTCTGACGTCATTATCCTGAGAATGAAGATTGGAAAAACACGTCAAATTTAGCTGTGAAATCTCTCCATTATTGTACAGTCTGGAGGATTTTCAGTACACTTTGACAACTATGAAATATGTTAACTCTTAGTGCCATCAAGTATCCCATTTGGGAGTATTTTTGATTTTTCTACTTTTTGTTGAAAAAAGGAATTTGTACTCTGTGCATTGGATGGACTTGTTTGGTACTTGGGATTTTCCTCTCTTACAGTCAACATCAGTGTTGTAAATTTGCTAAACTGATTCACTTACTCACATTTAGCAGCAGGTTTTGGACTGCAGTCCTGCCAAATTTGGACACTGAGGACATCAAACTCTGAGCATGTACACCTAAACTGCAGATCAAGCCTTTGCCCAGATTTTAAGGATTCCAATGGACAACATATTTGCACAGTACTGCATGTTGGTTATCACTGCCTTTACTCCTTTGCTTCCATTTGGGATGGGGAAGGCATGTGTGTGTGCGCGCGCGCGTGTGTGTGTGTATGTGTACTGGCGAGGGGTTACAAGAAATATTATCCCAAACTTTTTAATGTATTGCTTTTATCCCCTCCCCCCCCCTTCTGCTCTACCATTTTAAGTTCTGACCTCAGGCCACATCTCGGCCCAGGGCCTTTTGAAGGCCTAATGTTTTCTGTACTTTGTGATGAATGTTAATAGGTGTTTTTATTATACGAAGCTGAATGTCATTGAATTGTTTGTAGTTTTTTCCGTCATTCATTCCAGTCTCCTTCAGATGCCACCATGTTTTCTTTAGCTATGGAAAACATTCCATTTTGGTGTCTGTTTTTTTTAAAAGGTCCCAAATGCTGCACTGTACACACCGAAGGGTCGTCCAACAGAGAGAGAGAGAGAAAAGAAGTACTGTAAGAATGAGAATGAATGACAGATGAACACAAAAATACCGTAGGAAGCAACATAAATTCATTCCACAAAGCAGTGGTTTTTTTTATTTTTGGTTTTGGTTTTTGATTTTTTGGCAGCAATGGTGAATATTAGCAAATGCCACAAAATTGAACAGCACAAAGAAACATATGCAGCACCAACAGAATTCACTTCATTAGAGAATGAATACTACAGTGGCAGGCTCTCAGTTGTTTAACATGAGTTTTAATGGGCCAACAAATCTTTCTGGAATATCTAAGATTACCAAGATGGGTACCTATACATTTATTATTATTTTTCATTTGCGAATAGTGGTTGGAAAGATGACTTCATTAAACTGTTGTAATACATGGCGATGTTTCTCAGTTAAACATCAGTTCAGGATTGCTTGGTGGCATTAATCTGTTCGAATACAAATTAGATTTCAGATTGAACTTGTTATGGCAGTTAATAAGGACTGAGCCCACTAATGCTAAAGTGTTAATAATTTCAACTGTGCAAATTCTGTACTGCAGTTAAGATTGTTATGCAATATTACACCAGCCAGTATCAAAACCTCTCAGTAGTAAACAGTGGGATGGGGGGGAAGGAAATAGCACTGGGGCTTGTTTGGTAAAACTGGCAGTGCTCTTCAAAGCAAACATTACATACAGAAAGCTGTTGTTACAGGTCAGTACACCTCAGTCACCAAACACCTAAACACTTTCATTCTGCAACCACTTTTCTGTCACTCATTTATTTATGTAGGACTGTAGCTTTTTGTTTAATTATTATTATTTCAAAAAAAGCCTTTCAGAGCTTAATTTATATTCTTCTTTGTACCTTCCCCCCCCTAAAATTACCAAAGATATTACACAAAGGTAAATTATGTTCTCTATTATATGCTTTATCTTATGAAGCCAAATATCCTCTTATTGTTGATCAAGGGAGGTTGAAGAATTTAGAGGGAAATGACAAGATATGGGCTATTGCTAACCTGAGAGGGAAACTGCTCCTTTATTCTAGTAAATTTAGATGGCCAAGCAGATGACTGAACCAAAGTTACTTTTTATTCGTATTCCTTTACAGCGACCAAACCGAAATTCTGTAAAGAGAAATCGAGAAGAGCTTTTGGACTAAAACTAGGAAACAGTGTTACAGGGGGAGCCATAAGAAGGGAGCTGGAGAAAGCAAGTGCAGTTATTGTGCAGAAAATTGGAGTATCAAATAAAGGAGACAGTTTAATAAAATACAAAAGAGAACAGAAAAGCTCCCACAATTTTACTGGACCACATAATAGTATTCCTAGAATTTAAAAAAAAAAAATATTTTTGGGGTCTTTGTTTTTACAGATTGTATGCCACTTTTGTTTAAGGATTGTGCTAAAACGACTGCTTTAATTTTGGTTTCTCTTGGCACATTTGCTGAGTTTTGTTTAGTTTTTGATCAGCATTTTTCATAAGGAAATAACACTCCTGTCCACACATAAGCTTTGGTACAAGAAATTTTATTGGCAGTTACTTTTCTGAAGTTCAACTCTGCATTCTGTTTTTAAAAGAGAGAAAAGAAAAGGAAAAAAAAAGGGCAGTCTGTGGTCATTTGAAACTTTTTTTTTTTTAATTAATATATCCAGGCAGCTTCATGATGTGCCGGCAGTAGCCAGATGGGGATCATGAGAAGTGGTCCCTGTGCTTCTAAACTGAGTGGTTCGCTGGTTAGTTCGGTATTCAAAAGAGGATAAAAATCTGGTAGATTAGTTCATTCTCAGCATGTGTAGCTAGACATGAGTAAAGATAACAGCATGAGAAACTGTTAGTACGCATACCTCAGTTCAAACTGTTAGGGAATGAGTAAATAAAAAATACATTTCACTCAGTTGCACTTAGTTGTATGTCTTGCATGCTTAGTCTAAAGACTGTAGCAAAATAAAGAAAGAAAAAGAGAAAAAGAAATAAAAATTAGATTTTAACATATCTGGCAGGTGTCACAGCCTTGCAGAAGAACCAACTGAAAATCTCAGGCTTTACATCAAGCAAACTTCACTATGATTTTTACAGTTCTGATTCTGTATCCCTTTGGATATACAGTTGCTTCTTTAGGGTGGGGTTTATTATGTTGTACATATATATCCCAATGTGTCTGTGTGAGCCTTTGTCTTTTTTGGGGGGAGGAGGGAGAAAAGGGGAAAAGGTCCTTTTTTTTT